AATTTGTAAAGGATGTTAAGATTTTGAATTGTTTGAATTAGCAATTTGGGTATAAGTTCTTTAAGAATGATATTAAGATAAAATAAGTTATCATTAAATAGTATTTGGTAAAAAGTTTTATGATTTTGAATTTTTTGAATAAGTTCTTCTTACTAAAGTTTAGAGAGGTTTAGATTGCTTTGACTAATATGTTTGGAGATAGTATCTTAAATAATACTAATAAGTAGTATTGGATTAGAATATATCCACCAATGTGTTAAGGAGTCAGGTAAGCTACAATAGAAGCAGTTTGTATTATAGAAAGTATGCAAATATATTTTATGACATAAAGTGTGTATATGTAATTTATTTAGTAAAATTTTGATTTTAAAAGATTTAGACTGATTAAGTTTAAAGTTAATTATATTATGTATTGGTTTTGGTTATGGTTAAAGTATAGCCAAGTAGATCTCCAATCTATTTTGGAAATAAGTTGGTTCTATTCTTGGTTTTGTTTTTAAGATGACCACATTGCCAAAATATAGGCTTTGCAAATATTTTTGATAAATATTCTTGTAAGATATTCTATAAAGTGTTAGTTCCAGTTAGCATGTGATATAGGTTGTAATTATTAATATAATTAAAGTATAAATTAGGAAAAAAATTATGTTGCTTAGCAAGAGAGTCAGCAAGATTGTTCAAATTGTTGTCAGTATAAGCTTGAACTTTGTGAAGGTTAATTTGGAGATTGTATGATTTAATAATATTCAATAAAGCATGCTATATAGGCCATGTATTAAATTTAAGAAGTTTGCTAAGATTGGAAATTGTGTTATAAATGTTAGTATATTTAGTGATAATGGATTAGGAATCTGTAAAAATGTTAACTATTGCATTTCAGGATGTGATAGAAATAGCTGGGAGAATAGCCATCAGTTCTGCTTTGTAGAATGATAGCCAAAAGTCGATTTTAACAGAGAATTTGTGAATAATTTAATTATTGTTATTGACCTGAAGCTAGCCAATGCCTATTGTACATTGGTTGGTTCCAATATTAATTACTGAACCATCAGTATAAAAGTTAAGTTATTGTTAAGAGCTGTTGAGAATTGAATATTGTTCAAGTGTATTTGCTGCTTCACTAGTTTTGAATATTTTAAAGATATAAGAGTTGGAAATTGGAATTGTTGGTATTAGGAGATATTTAATAGCTGTTGAATGGATAAGGTCAATATACTTGGCATTGAAGTTTAATAAGTTAGAATTGACTTTTTCTAAAAATTGGAAAGAGATAATTGCTGATACATTAATTGTATATAAATTCTGAATTCTGTTAGAGTTTAAATAAACTTTATAGTATATAATAAGATCACATGCTTTGGCCTCACTTTATTATTGGTGCCCAAATTGTAATACAAAGTAAAATATGTGTAATATAATAAAAATTTTATATATATAAGGCTCTAAGATACAAGCAAATACTTTTTAGGCTGTTTTATTTTTGGTGCTCATGATAAGACACCTCTAGAAACAGTAATAATGTAGAATAGGAGTAAAAAAAAAAAAAAAAACAACATTCTTTTTATGTTGAACAATCAAACTGCTCTATACAATGTGCACTTGAAGGACCCTGACTTGGGTGAAGTCCTTGATAATGAGGAACCAAAATCCTGGTTTCCTTCCAGAGACCTCAAAAACTTACCTACTGAAATCTATTCAGACTGTACACTCTCTAGATCTGAAAGACAGAAAATACTACATGGTGAACCACACAATGCTTAAGTTGATTACAAGCCTTCTCAAATAGAACCATATTTTCTATATGCAATGTCGAAACAACAAAAGGAGTTTGATAAAACTATTAGAGACATCTCCTACTGAACTTCTGCAGTCCTACACCCTATTAACAACATTGAAAAGGTCTTATTTGAATCAAAACCATCTGATGGAAATCAGGAAGCCCTACAGGAGTATGAATTGTTACATAAATCTACTCAAAATGCTAGAAAACTTCTACAGGATGCATTATCATATGCTAATGATCTGTGAAGAGAATTTGTACTTAAAGCACTGTCTTCTATTTATGTCCTAACAAAAGACAGGAAAGGTGTGTTTGGTGACAAGTTTAAAGATTTGGTCGAAGAAGAAAATACCAAATCAAAATTATATAATGATGCTAATAGAAAAAAGCGTAGATTTTATTTATCTAATCAAACAAACCAACAATCTTATACTTATGCAACAAAAAGGTTTATCTCTCAAATAACTCTAAACGCCAAGAATGGAATAGATTTAGAGAAACAAATAAGGTGGGCAAAATTAAACCTAACAAGGGAAACTTCCAACTGGACAAACAGCATGGCAGTCATCCATAATACTATGCCCAATACCTGGTCGATTAAAATACTTCAAACAGAGTTGGTTACAGAAGTTCGGAAACTCATAGCCAACATCTATTGTAAAAAATGGTTACTCACAGAATGGAACCAAAAACCCCCTTTAAGATTTCATTCTATAAAGAACAATTTTATAAACAATGTAGATATAAAATTAGCAAAAAAGGAAATCTCAGTTCTTTTACAAACACAAGCAATACAACTGTTTCCCAAGCAACTCCCTTGCTACATCTCCAATGTTCTTATGGTCAACAAGAAGGATAGGAAAAAGCGAGTAGTCTTGGATTTACAATCCTTATACACTTTTATAAGGCACACACATTTCAAAATGGAATCAATAGCTATAGTAAAAAGTTTAATCAGAAGAAACGACTACATGGCATCAATCGACATAAAAGATGCCTTTTTTCACATACCCTTACATCTTACTGCTCAAAAGTATTTTGTGTTCGATTTTTTGGGACAATGTTTCTGTTTTAGGTGTCTCTCCTTTGCTTAACATCTTGTCTCAGGATATTTATAAAAGTTCTACAACCCATAATAAAGATGCTGAGACAATCAGGAATATGCATTGTAACATAACTGGACGACTTGCTAATAATGGCGAACAGGAAAGAAAACTTGAAACAACACCTCAGGACTGTACCAAAACTTTTGACCAAGTTAGGCTTCATCATAAACACACAAAAGAGCCAATTGATACCTATTCATTCCTTAGAATACTTGGGATTCAAAATAAACTCAAGGAATATAACCATCATTCTTCCAAAAAAAAAAACAAACCAGTTAAAACAGGAGTGCAAACTAGTTTCAATGATGCTTAAGATTCATGTCAGGAAACTGGCAGTGTTAGTAGAAACACTTCTAGCAACTATGAATGCTATATATCTAGCAAGGCTAAAATCTCGAAAATTATTAAGACTAAAGAACAAAGCTATAAAGACAGAAGGCTGGAATACCTCCTTAGAACTATCAGAAAAAGCAAAAAGACAGTTACAGTAGTGGGTAGACCAATTGGAAAATTGGGAAAGACAGTCTATGATAACCGAAATACCATTAGTCATAATACATACAGACACATCACTACACAGCTAGGGCATTTACAGATGAAAGTCATTGCTAAATGAGCTTTGGAATCAGGAAGAGCAGAAGCTACACATCAATGTGTTGGAGATGAAAGCAATTCAGTTTGCTTTTATGATGTTCAATGACCTAACACAGAGATCAGTTCTGATCAAAACAGACAACCTAACATGTGCAGCATATCTTAACCATCAGGGCAGAGTAGTATTACTAGAAATCAGCATGATAGCAGAATCAATATGAGAGACATGTCTCGAAAAGAGGATTAAGCTAAGGGTCTAACATGTTCTGGGAACCCAGAATATAATGGCAGATTATGCATCTCGACTTCGTTTTAACAAGAATGACTGGATGCTGAACCCCAAAATATTTAACAAGATTCACAATTTGTGGAGCCTATTCAAGGTGGACTTGTTTGCCAACAGACTTAATACTCAGTTATCAATGTACTATTCATGGCACTCTGACCCAACAGCAACAGCAGTAAATGCCTTCTTACAACCATGATTAGGCATGACAAATTATGTGAATCTCCCATGGACATTGATACCCAGAATTCTATCCAAAGCTCAGAAGGAACAAGCTATGATGTGTCTAATAACTCCCTTATGGACATCAGCGAACTGGTTCCCATCTCTAATGGATATGACAATAGATCTGCCATGAATCTTACTAATGAAAAACCTTCTACTTCCAGGGCCAACATCAGGCACAATACCTTAGTTGAAAACAAATTACCAAATGTGCACATGGCTTATCTTCAGAAGCATCTCCAGAAGAAAGGCATTTCTCAACAAGCTATCACGTTATGTGCTAAAGCTCTTGACCCAAACTCAACCAATACTATATCATTAAACATATGCACATGGACTTTATGGTGTACCGAAAATGCTAGAGATCCCATTAATTGCCCTATAAATGATATTCTACAATTCTTTACAACAAAAGCAAATGAAGGGAAGTCATACAATATTATCACTGGATATAGGTCAGCTATAAGCGAGATACATGAATACATCAATAACTGGCCAATTGGTCAGAACAGAGACATTGCCAATCTAATGTTAGAAATATTCAGGACAAACCCACTTGCCAAACCTGGAGATAAAATATATGATATTACACCCTTCTTGAACTATATTGTAGCACTAGGTGACAATGACCATTTATAGTTAATATCCCTGGCAAAGAAAACAGCCTTCTTATGTGCTCTTTCATCAGCCTGTCATCCTTCAGACCTTGCTCATTTAGACTTAACAACTATCAGATCTATCACAAATGGCATTATTATTGAATGCATTAACTCAAAAGGAGCCAACATCACTATAGGTCATGGAATAAATAAAAAACATACCAAAAGGATATTTATTGGCAAATACCAGGATGATGTGAGGTTATGCCCAGCTACAGCCCTACATTACTATTTAGCTCGGACGAAAGAGCTTTGGCATTCTAAAGAGCAAAGAACTGCTATATTTTTATCTAACATTAGTTCTTACAAACCAGCAGCAGTTGATACTATCGCAAACTGGCTAAAGGATATTATCAGAAGGTCAGCCCCAGAAGGGAAGGCTAAAGACATTCACATTCTATCAGCTATGTTAGCCCAAAATGTGGGCGCGGACCTAAACTCAATTCTGGTACTAGGTAATTGGTCCAACCTCTATACATACTAACAATTTTACCAACGTGGCATAAAGTTAATGTTAGAGCAAAATAACATTACTGAAAAAATCATGAATCAAGCTAGAGGATTGTAGTTAGAATTTACTTTAAAGAAACATGTGATCTTATTATATACTATGAAGTTTATTTTACTGAATGTATGAGGTTTATCGAAATGCATTTGGAAATAAATGAATAGTATATAATAAGATCACAATGTTCCCTCTCATTATTACGGATCTAGTTTTTTCTAACCCATCTGATCTATCTGTTAAAACGGCCTAAAGAGTATTTGCTTGTATCTTAGAGCCTTATATATATAAAAATTTTTATTATGTTACACATATTTTACTTTGTATTACAATTTGGGCACCAATAATAAAGCGAGGCCAAAGCATGTGATCTTATTATATATTATTCATTTATTTTCAAATGCATTTCAATAAATCTCATACATTCAGTAAAATAATAGCCTAAACAAGATAAGCTTTGGGTTGATAAAAGGAGATAGTAACCAGAATGATTTATATCAATATTTGTTTGCCAGTATATAATAAACATTTGATTAATGTTTTTTAAATGTCTGCAGATTTTGCCAACAATAATCTCGATCAGTATATATAAATAACCAGGATTTAGATTTTTTAGAAATATATTGTGAACTATATACAAATGGATTATATCCTGGTTGTTGGTAGTAGGGAAGAAGGATTCTGAAACTAATATAGGCTATTACAGTTTCTTCCAAAAAAGTGAACCATAATAGTTTTCAACCTTTAGGTAGATATAATAGTTATGGTGAAAGATATTTCCATTTTAATAAAGTAGTGTTGTTAGCTGTACAGAGCTGTTCAAGGTATAGGATGTTAAGGTTTCTGATTTGTTTTTTGAAGCTAATGTATTGAGGGTGTTAAGATAAAATTGTTTCTATTGATTGAAGGTTATATGATATAGTGTTTGGCCATAAAATATTGAAATTAGCTGTTATAGATATGTTTAGATATTTCAGTAATTGAATAATTTTGAAATTTAGAATGTGTTTATTTGGACTATCAATAATAGGATTGGGGTGTTAAAGTATATTGATAGTTGACAATAAGTTGTTTTGAAGTTGTTATAGTCTTATCCATGTTGAAGTTTCTAGTAAATTAGAATTGTTGAATAATAATAAAAAGTTAGTAATATGGTGTTGAAGTTGAATGTCCCATATATTATAAACATTATACAGATATGAGTTAAGCATGGTACTATTGGGAATTGAGCATGCTAGATGGGATTTGCATTTGGCTATTGTTAAATATTTGGCAAGAATGTTGTTGCATGTGGAGTAAGGTATAATAATGTTGTGTAATCTATATTCAAGTGTAGGTATACTGTATTGATTATGTAAATAATTTGTTTATCTGTAATTTTCTTTATACTAGCAATGTTTGTAAATTGAAAAGTTTCTTCTTAGATAATTTTAATTTATTTAGTATGTTTGTTGTTAAGTGTAAACCAATAACCTAAAAACTTAAATAGTTGGCTAGCAGGTATAGATTCCAAAATATAGTTAAAAAATTAAATATTGGATGTAGGTAAGTTAAAAATAAAGACAGATTTGGTAGCATTAATCTGAATATTGGCTATTAGATAGAAAGATGAAGCAGTTTGAATAATTTATTCTAATTCTTGTTTTGTTTTTGCTATCCAAAGTGTATTATCTATGTAAGCTAATACTAATGTAGATGCTTGAAAACTTTGAGATCTAAGTGGTTAAAAGTGAGTTTTCCAAGTTGTAGATAATGAGTTACTATTATATTGAGATGCAATTTTAGAAATAAGTGGGTTATAATAAATGCATCAAAATAGTAGAGTTATTGTTTCTCACTAGTTTATTCTATTTTTAACTGTATATGGGTTAGTTAGGCCAAGATTGATGAGTACTCTATTTTGACAGTCTGTTAATAAATTAGTAAATATGTTAACTAGCTTAGAAGGCATGTTAATACAAATTAGTGCCTTTTCAAACAGATTCAGATTAACTGAGTTATATGCTTTTCTCATATTTTGAGATATAAGTTAAAGCTGTTTGGAGTTGCAAGATGCATCTTTAATAATATTTTTTAAGATATATATAGGTATAGCCATGCTATTGCCTAGCAGAGCAATGTAATTATAAGGTGAAAGAATTTTATATTTAGTAAATATTTAATTTAAACAGTTTGTGAAAAGTTTTGTATATAGTTTTTTGATATGTTTGAGAAAGCTAATAGGTTTGGTGTTGATTAAGTTGCAGTCAAAAATAGGTTTTTTAGAAATTAGAAAATTCTAGCCTCTTTTCATTGCTTGGAGATTTGGTTTAAGGTAATATATCTATTTAGGAAAGTATAATTGCTTGAAAAAAGAGTATGCCTACATGTTTTAACATTTTATAACTAATATCAGAAGGGCCACAGGCCTTGTTGTTTGGGAGATAAGATAATGTTTCAGTCACTTTGGTGATAGTAAATTCTTCAGTAATGTTATTATACCACTCAGTATTAATATGCATTTTGCAGTTATATTTTTTTTCTAATTGGATTCAAAGATTTGTTAATTGGTCTGTTTAAGAGATGTCTATTGATTAAAGTGTTGTTTGATATACTGTTTAATGTCTTAAGAATCAGTAATTACATCATTGTTTGTTCTGATGTTGTCAAATTTGACTGAGTCTTTGTGACAGTTAAGTATACTATTAATCATTGACTTTGGGTTAAATTGGAGTTTGAAGCATTTTTTGGAAATATTATCATTAATTTGTTGTCTTATTTTTTGATATTTTCTATATTGCAAGCATGATAGATAGATTTTCATTCAGTTTAGCAAATGCTAGCCAGTTTGGCAATAAGTTGTGAATAGTTGGCAAAAGTGGGATGTTGAGTTAATTAGATGTATTTATTTGATTAATAAGGTAATTATGTTGATATGGTATAGGGGTGGAGTTTTTTAGTGAGTATTTGACTTGTTTAATAATATTTCCTAATTTCTTAAGATGTTGGTATAAAGATGATGCCTTTGTAGAAAAGATATTTTGAAAATTTCTGACAGTGATTTTTTTATTTGGAATATGTTGTATAGTAGCAGAAATAATACTGTTTTGAATTTTGTGCCAGGAAGATTCTAGTGATTCTAAGGTTTGTGTGCTGAGTGGGGTTTTATTATTATTAAGGCTTAAGGTTACTTGATCTGCAAATTGTTGTCATTTCTCTTTGTCTATGTTTTTGTATAAGAATGTTCTTCTACAGGTTTTGATAAAATGTCTGAGTTTACCTATATATGCTAAGAAAAAAGCC